GGCTTTCAAAGGCCTAACATATCCACGTTCTTGACAAACCGTCTTAAGGCTTTCACAGATCTACAACACCCATGTTATCAGCAAATCATTTAAGGGCTTTCAAAGGCCTAACATATCCACGTTCTTGACAAACCGTCTTAAGGCTTTCACAGATCTACAACACCCATGTTATCAGCAAATCATTTAAGGGCTTTCAAAGGCCTAACATATAAACGTTCTTGGCAAGCCGTCTTAATGCTTTCACAGATCTACAACACCCATGTTATCAGCAAATCATTTAAGGGCTTTCAAAGGCCTAACATATCCACATTCTTCACAAACCGTCTTAAAGCTTTCACAGATCTGCAACACCCATGTTATCAGCAAATCATTTAAAGGCTTTCAAAGGCCTAACATATAAACGTTCTTGGCAAACCGTCTTAATGCTTTCAGAGATCTGCAACACCCATGTTATCAGCAAATCATTTAAGGGTTTTCAAAGGCCTAGCATATAAACGTTCTTGGCAAACCGTCTTAATGCTTTCAGAGATCTGCAACACCCATGTTATCAGCAAATCATTTAAGGGTTTTCAAAGGCCTAGCATATAAACGTTCTTGGCAAACCGTCTTAATGCTTTCAGAGATCTGCAACACCCATGTTATCAGCAAATCATTTAAGGGCTTTCAAAGGCCTAACATATCCACGTTCTTGGCAAGCGCCCTAACCACCTGGCCCACTGTATTTGTAATCACGCGTATGTTGCTAACATCAGCTTACAATATCATCACCAAATCAACGTCTGTGTCAAGAAATATATCAAATAAATGAGATTCTGTGCGACTGAAATTTATTATCTTTGTAATTAGTGGTATAGAAAGTTTCAATGTTTCCTACCCGCCTTTAAAAAATATTTGTTATAATAAGGTTAAACAAACAGTGGCTGACCGATACATCACGATAATACGTTTTAAAACCTAAAACTCGAATATCCTATTGATCTTCTTATCGATTAAGATGGAAATTAGGCTAAAGTGTTTGTGTTCTTTTGATTAACGTGAATCAATATTCTCGCCTCGTCTCTAGTAATGATCTTCTTTGATGTAAATGTATATTATTTATTATATATTTTAACGTTAATGAAAAAGGTAGCCGATACAAGGTTACGTCAATGTTAAAATTGTTGCCTTTTTTTCTTAGATGAATTTATTAGCTCGTTATTTTTCCTAAGTGAATGTTGACCACTGACATCCTTGTGTTTGCAATGGCTCGATTAATTCCGCTTGTCTGATAGATTATTATGACTGAAATATTATTGGCTCATTACTGCTTGTCATTAAGTTCCCAACTTTGTTGCGCTCAATTCTTACAAGTTCATAAACTGTAAAAAAAAATAATAATAAAAAAAGGTTAATTTAGATTATACCGAAATTACAACTACGTGCCCCCTCCCCCAGATGGGATAGCTGTAAGTCTACGAACTTTCAACGCTAAAAATCTGGGGTTAGATTCCCGTTGGTGGACACAGCAAGTAGCCTAATGCGGCTTTGCTCTATCCAAGTAACTAATATGGCAGACAAATATAAAGTACATAGTTCATGAAATACGAAAACTGGAAAATCAAATCTTCGGTGTATCTGAAAACAGAGGAATTCGAACAAACAACAATGAAATTTGGTGAAATCTTTAAACAACGATGAACTTCCAAAAGGATGTGTAACAATGTATTGAAAATCAAGCTAACATGAACCGAACATCTAAAAAAATGTAATTATTTTATTTTTGCAAGACGTCATTGGACCCGTGTCTGTATGAATTAAGAGCATAATGGATTATTTGGAATAACAGATTTTTTTAGCACGCTATCATCTTTCTTTTGTAACGAAATGGGCTGGACTTGGCCTAATAGTTAGCATGCTCGGGCTGCGAATCCGAGGATACATGGTTTGGGGCTCTTGCAGCGAAAAAACGAGCTCTGAACTTTTGATAGTAAGGACACTATAAGAGTTACGGTCAAATCTCGTTATTCGATTAAATAAGAGTTTACAAAGAGTTGGTGGTGGATGCTGTTGACTAGCTGCCTTCCCTGTATTGTGTCCGTTCCAAATTATGCACGGATAGCCCATGTGTAACTTTGTGTAAAAATTCTGAATCAAATAACAACACAAAATAGAAAGAAAAAATGTTATGTTTCCGTTCAATAATAATCATGTCATATAGTTCCAACATCACAATGTCTTTGGCAGCTGTTAAAAGAAAATCCACAGAATCCAGCAAAAACATTTTTATTGACAGGACTATACCAAGTACTGTTACATCTTTATTAACGGGACTACACCAAATTCTGTTACGTATTTATTGACATTACTACACCAAGGATTTTTACGTCCTTCATAACAGGAATGCATCAAGTACTGTTACGTTTTTATTGACCAAATACTATTGTTTCTTTATTGACAAGAATACACCAAATACTATTGTTTCTTTGTTGACAAGAATACATCAAATATTTTTGATTCTTTATTGACAAGAATACACCAAATACTATTGTTTCTTTATTGACAAGAATACACCTGATACTATTGTTTCTTTATTGACAAGAGTAATCTAAATACTATTGTTTCTTTATTGACAAGAATACACCAAATATTATTGCTTTCACAATTGTTTTCAAAGGTTTATAGTTTTTTAATCTCTTTCCTTCAACATACCTTTTTAAAAGCCAATCACATTTTATCTTTGAAAGTTATTTATGCAATAAAATAATTTTTACTGTCAGTGGGTTTGAGTAAAACACTCATCAGTTCTCAAAAGGTTAGCTCCATGTCTCCAGATTTAAAATAGTACGGGTCTATCTGTTGATGAAATCAAATTGTAAAGTATTAGTACAGTAGAGAATAATACAGCGTTATACGTTACAGTATAGAACAACATTGAATACTACAATGTAGTAGCGTAGCGTATTACACTAAAGATTATTTCAGCATTGCATACCTTCGCATATAGTGTAGTATATTAGAGCAAACCATGGTCTTAGAAAATATGCTAAAATAACATCGCTTTAGATCGTAACATAAACTGCAAAATAAAGGATGATGAATTGTAACAGAGATACATCATAAAACAATCAATATTATATTATATTACCTCTACATCCATGACAGTGATACATCATAAAACAATCAATATTATATTATATTACCTCTACATCCATGACAGTGATACATCATAAAGCAATCAATATTATATTATATTACCTCTACATCCATGACAGTGATACATCATAAAACAATCAATATTATATTTTATTACCTCTACATCTATGACAGTGATATATCAGAAAACAATCATGATTATATTACATTACATTACCTCTACATCCATGACAGTGATACATCATAAAACAATCAATATTATATTATATTACCTCTACATCTATGACAGTGATACATCATAAAACAATCAATATTATATTATGTTACTTCTACATCCATGACAATGATATATCATAAAACAATCAATATTATATTATGTTACTTCTACATCCATGACAGTGATATATCAGAAAACAATCAATATTATATTACTTCTACATCCATGACAGTGATATATCAGAAAACAATCATGATTATATTACTTCTACATCCATGACAGTGATATAGCAGAAAAAAGACAATAAATATTATATTACCTCCACAATCTACCCTGTTGGGGAAGTCACACCACTCGTTCTCAGGATCATAAAGCAGACCATGTGGGCAGTTCTTCAGAAATGGCTCTCCACCCACACAGTGATAATATTGTGCACAGTTTTCCTTCTTCGGAAATAGTCCGACCGGTTTGGGACATTCTTCTGTAGGTTTATAGTCAACTGTGAAATATATAGACAAATAAATCATCATCTCTCGGTTTGGGGCATTCTTCTGTAAGTTTATAGTGAAATGTGAAACATGTAGACAAAAAAATCATCATCTCTCGGTTTGGGGCATTTTTCTGTAAGTTTATAGTGAAATGTGAAACATGTAGACAAAAAAATCATCATCTCTCGGTTTGGGGCATTCTTCTGTAAGTTTATAGTGAAATGTGAAACATGTAGACAAAAAAATCATCATCTCTCGGTTTGGGGCATTCTTCTGTAAGTTTATAGTGAAATGTGAAACATGTAGACCAAAAAATCATCATCTCTCGGTTTGGGGCATTCTTCTGTAGGTTTATAGTCAACTCTCGAATTTCAACACTTTGCAGTGCACATGCGACAAGTTTAAGGGTAAAAGTATCGCCCTCGTAAAATATTACTCGAGATCCTATTGGTTATGACAAGTTTAAGGGTAAGAGTATCGCCCTCGTAAAATATTACTCGAGATCCTATTGGTTACGACAAGTTTAAGGGTAAGAGTGTCACCCTCATAAAATATTACTCGAGAACCTTTAGGTTACGAGACCAGTTACTCTCGTCAAGAAAGTATAAAAATACATAAAATTCTATATAAGAATGATCCAAGGTCATTTCTCCACGTCCAAACGATGCGTCAACAGTTGGTTCTTCAATCATTACGATTACCGGAATGTTGTTTCTATAGTTTTGAATTTTGATGGACGTGATTCATGATGTTCAATACGTTGAAACGTGTGCCAATGCTTAAAAAAAACAACGCTAGAAACCGGGTTTCGATACCCGTGGTGGGCAGAGCACAGATAGCCCATTGTGTAGCTTCGTGCATAAATTCAAACAAACAAACAATCTTAAAAAAGCGCCCCTGGTGGCACAGCGGTATGTCTACGGACCTACAACGCTAGAATTCCGGTTTCGATACTCTTGGTGGGCAGAGCTCAGATAGCCCATTGTGTAGCTTTATGCATAAATTCAAACAAACAAACAAGCTTTAAAAAAGCCCCCCAGTGGCACAGCGGTATATCTGCGGACCTACAACGCTAGAATCCCGGTTTCGATACTCTTGGTGGGCAGAGCTCAGATAGCCCATTGTGTAGCTTTATGCTTAATTACAAGCAAACAAACAAAAGCTTAAAAAAAGAAAAAAAGAGAGACAATAGTACTATCGTCTCACCTCTGACACATATGGACAAACGTACCTATAGATTGATAACTATTGACCTGTTGCTACTGAGAGATGGACAAATGTAATAACAAAGAAAGATGCGTTGATTGAAAATGTTCCAAGATGTCATTTCGCAATCCCGAAACAAGCACATGGCACGATATCAAACATTAAATATATGTAAGATAATATTATAACTTTAGCTGTTTGTTTGTTTTAGAACAAAGCCACATTAAGCCATCTGCTGTGTCCACCGCGGGAAATCGAACCCCGCATTTTAGGGTTGTAAGTCTGTAGACTTTAGCACCAAATCACGTCAATACGGATAAAGATTCCCAGACACTCTTCACTATTAAAAAAAAAAGCAACAAAAGCTCTATTTATTTACTATCTCAAAAAATATAAAATTGTTTGCTATAACTTTTACATAATATTGTCCTGAAAGAATGTTGTTAATCTCAATAAAGAGTTTTCACCAAGTTTACTGAATTTTGATCAGTGACAAGTGACTATAGAGTACTGAATTTCTACATCCTTATGTTTTTGTGTCTGTTTTTTTATTTTATTTTATTTAGCAATAATTAGTAAGATAAGAATTTCTTTACTAGTAAACAAAATGCAGTGATATATCTAATTTTTTTTTACATTTGGAGGAGGAGGGGGGGATATAAAAAATTGACACTTTCATGTCATTGAAAGTCACAATGGAATAGGTTTAAAATCTTAAAAGAGTATAACTCAGATGAGGAGGCTGCTGGGGGGAAAGGGGGAGGGCATAGCTCTCCAATGGGAGGAGTCTGTCGTCTCCCTGGGGGCCCGGCATGGCCAGGTGGGATAA